TACAGCAGCTGCTGTAGACCACAAGCACTTGGAGCGTTTCAATAAAATATAATGCTAAATAAATACGAAATCTATTTACTACCAAAGTCTTAATGTTTCTATACTTTCTTTCACCTATTATTTGTGAACACAAGGTATTTGTGCCGTTGCGTTCTGGAAATCCGATTGGCTGATAAAAATACTTTTCGATGCAATCGGCTATAAAAGATTTTAGCGAAAGTGCAGTTAGTGACAGAACGAATGTACTTTCGCAAAATTGAGGTTAATCTGAACATAGTTAGTAGAGGGAGTCTCCCTCTACGAACTATGATCTGAAGAGACAGGATCCCGCCCGACACACGAACAAAGTCACTCCACGGAGAATAGCGAGAGTGAACAACGTCCATAGTGATGTTTCGTGTCCGCTTTTACGTGGAGATCTATATCTAGCCTACGCGCGAGCATGGTGCTTGGTGCATGGTTTTATCTTTGCAGTTTTCAGTCTAACTGTTTCAGTGTTTTGAGTATAGATGCACACGACGTGAATTATAACTTATAACGACAGAAACGATAACAGGACTGTACGATACGTAACTATTCCTGCCCGTCACGTAGTAATTATATACATAATCTGTTAAATGCACGCGTGATCTAGATAACAATTTTATAATTTATGAATGAATAAACCCATACCTCGTTTTATTATTTCGTAATGAAGTTATCGAAATACATGATCTATTCATGTATATTATGTAATACACTATATATAAGTATATACACACAAGATATATTTGTGCAACCTTACAACAGACCGTATTCCACGTATACAATCATGCGCACTCAAACATACCCTTTGTAGAACCAAGAGCAAAAATATCCCTAAAGAACATGCGCGCTCGTTTTTGCGGACAAGGGTGGGTGCCCAAGAGATATTGATCGAGATTTTTGGGCTCGTGGAGAGCTTGACAAACACTTGATAACCGATAAGCGATTTTGAATCGATTATAATCAGTTTGGTGAGAAGAATAATAAAAAACATTTAAACAACATTAAACATTAAAAAAACATTTAAATAATATAAAACTGACGAGTGGTGAGATAACGGCACCCCCTCCCCCTAACACCCGATATAGTTACTTGGTTTTTTACACCGGTCAGTCATGCGTTCACATGTGTTTCACGACTGTATTTAACCAATGTTTTAATTTTTAATTAAATAACTCCATTACGTCGAGAAAGAGTTTCACGTAGACGACTGACTAATAAGAATGCCGCGTGCCGCATGCATCTTGCTGTGTTATCAATGTGTAGAGAGAGACCAACGTGATCCATGGACGCACAGGGATCCTAAATAGAATTTACCTGTCCGCATGAGCGAGATAATCGCACCCTTCTGAGATATTGCTCTACGTCGGTTAGGCTCATCTACAGTAGTTTGCATGCATGTGTATTTCACGCGTGCACGCCAAACTTGCGGCGCTTCGTTCTCAAGCAAATAGAATACTATATCGCAACAATGTTAATAGAGTCTAAGTTGTCTATATAGCCAAACATTGTTGTGATATAGTATTCTATTTAGGATCACGTTGGTCACTCTCTACACATTGCTAACACAGCAAGATGCATGCGGCACGCGGCATTCTCATTAGTCAGTCGTCTGCGTGAAACCCTTTCTCGACGTAATGGAGTTATTTAATTAAAAATTAAAACATTGGTTAAATACAGTCGTGAAACACATGTGAACGCATAACTGACCTAGTTATACCTAGCTATTCTCCGTGGACAGACTTTGTTCGTGTGTCGGGCGGGATCCTGTCTCTTCAGATCATAGTTCGTAGAAGGAGACTCCCTCTACTAACTATGTTCAGATTAACGTCAATTTTGCGAAAGTACCTTAGTTCTGTCACTGACTGCACTTTCGCAAAAATCTTTTATAGCCGATTGCATCGAAAATTATTTTCATCAGCCAATCGGATTTCTAGAATGCAACGGCAAACAAGACAAATACCTTGTGTTCAATCTTCAATGCAGTTTCTGTGATCAAAATATAAAAACCGATTGCGTTCCTTCAATATTCAACTTCGCTGACGGACACCGACCAAGTCTCGAACCTCTACAGGGCACATAGTAGGTGTACCCGTGGAGATAAATTGGTAAGTTTGACCAAGAACAAATTGAGTACGAATTTGGTTTATATTGCATGGTCGTCATTGATGCTGTTAAGAAGTCCACTTTAGCTGTTTAGCAACTTTTTTGACGAGGTAGGAGCTTACCATACTTAAAAGTTCCAAAGCCCTGTAATGATTTGGCACAGCCACCTCTTAATCGGCTCACAGGAATTGGCAATTCTAGCTATGAACGCAGATATATTTATGTGTCAGTGTGCAGCGGCAGCCATGGCGGCAGCCAGCGTTTGTTGCAGATGAGCATTTGGACGGCATTTGCAGGAAATTGTCGGCAATAATAGGTGAAAGAGAGTATAGAAACATTAAGACTTTGGTAGTAAATAGATTTCGTATTTATTTAGCATTATATTTTATTGAAACGCTCCAAGTGCCTGTGGTCTACAGCAGCTGCTGTAAACAAACACATCTTTCCCGCAGGCGTGATTTTTTTTCCTAGGATAATCAAGAACATAGGGCTCTAGTGAGCGCTGCCATTGGTTGATACAAATCACGTGCCTCAAACTCCTGTTTTATGGTGCATTCTGACCTATGATTGTGACCCTAACCCTAACCTTATTAAAAAAAAATTTAATTTGAAAAAATTAATTGTTGTTATTAAATTGTTGTAAATAAATCATGTAAATATTTGCGTTAATTGGAAAAAAATAGTTAAATGAAATAAAGATAGAAAAATACAGAAAACACGAAAATAATTTAAAAAAAGATGGGATTCAATCCAACGACCTTTCAGCCCTGACGTCTGTGCTCTACGCGTTCGGCTATTTAGGATTAATAGGATTATTAATTATGGATGTGCCATAAATATTACCACACTGTGACGTCATTGAGCGACGAAACAAGCTCAATCAATGGCAGCGCTCACTAGAGCCCTATGTTCTTGATTATCCTAGGAAAATAAATCACGCCTGCGGGAAAGATGTGTTTGTTTACAGCAGTCACAGGACACAGGTCGCAGTCTACAGGACCACAGGCACTTGGAGCGTTTCAATAAAATATAATGCTAAATATATACGAAATCTATTTACTACCAAAGTAATCAGTACCACGCTTCCCACAGGGTGGTAAAAATCGGATCCTCGAAAGCTCCAATAGCGTATCCATCCGAGCTGAAGCATCCGGGCACTTTTAGAATGAATTGATTTGAAGTTTGGTTTGTAGTTGGCTGGTTCGGAAAGTGTAGTGAATAGATTGCAAGTCCTATGAATTGATTCGAAGTTTCCTGAATAGTTTTGCACACGGACCGGAAACAAACAGAGTGGGCGGCAAATTGTAAACGTTAGTAAGTGATTTCAGAGGTCTTGAATAGATTGGCAGTTGCATAAATTGATTGTTAAATGAGCTCTTTGATTGTAAACGTTTAATATAATATGTTTTGAAAGCTGTATAATTAATTTGTAATTTAAGCTATACATTTGTCGTTTGTTACCTAATAATTCTGAAACCAACAGATAGATTCGCATTTCTGGTGATTAATGTTAAAAGTAATAAATTAATTTCAAACTTAATGAACTGACACATGTACGCAAGCACACGGCAAGTTGCAAAACGGAAATTGGTGGACAGCACTATATATTGGTGGCTACTCCCAAACTGTCGTTTTTACGGGCAGTTTATGAACACTCAGAAATCACTGGCTGTCACGTCCGTGTGTCGGGTCCTTTTAATAGCTTCGCTGCCACCATGTTTCCTTGTTTGTGTCTTTTGTTAGCAGAACCAGTATGGACGATAGAACACAGAGCTCTGGTATAGAGCTCCGAAGTGATGACGTCACGGTGGCATGACAGCGAACCCACTGGTTCTAAACAATCATATTATGCTCTGGTATTAACTGCGTGAAAATGGTGTCGTGTTTTGTACCCGATTGTAACCATCATTCTGAGAGTCATTATTGCAGTTTTTATAGATTTCCAAAGGATGGAAGTGAAAAGCTTGTAATATATATGTAATATATATTGAAAATATTGTAAGATCGACTTGCTACCGATGCTTTACCGCTGTCTGCAGCGCACACACTCGTGTTTTACGTACGCACAACATTTTCACGAAGTTAATGTTATGGAGCCAGTGGGTTGTTTAGAACCAGTGGGTTCATTGTCATGCCACCGTGACGTCACACTTCGGCGCATCATGAAGGACGAATGCGATACGGGACCATCTTGTGATTAGATACACTGGTCCGAAACTAAAAAAAAACTCCGGCTGCTATCAGGGTTCGGTGTGGGTAAATCTATACCCGACAGCTTACACGGTCCGCGAAAGTGAGAGCTGCTTTGAAGCGTTGCCAATTCCCAGCAGGAAGCGGCTGCTGCCTAGCGGACGGAAAGATTTTAGCCGCACGTGGCCAATGACGTCACGCATTTAGCGCCGGCTATATAAGCGCCCCGCATTCGGTTCCGTGGAAAGAATCGCTCATAAACACACGATTTACTCCGAAACGCGTTCACTATCTATATTCGCATAACTATTTTATGTCAGGCGATCGAGCGACGTTGGAAGAGAACGGAGAGGTGATCATACTCTAGTGATATTTACTCGTTTGTAATACGACGGCGCTGTACACCCCGATAGCGGTATGCCGAGCGGTGGTGAGCATAGCAGTACGGTGAGAGAGGGGAGAGCTGGTCAGCAGATAGGGAGAGCCGCCGGGCCGGTGCGCAGGGGAATAGGCATCGTGGGCGTGCCTATCTGGCACGGACAGGTGAGAGAGATAGAGCTTTAATGAGAGGTTTAATCACGTGCGACGTGTTATTATTGTTTCATTGTAGTACGGGATTGTTTTATTGTGTTGTTGTGATGTTGTGTTGTCGTGTTATTGTGTTATTGTGTTTTGTTATTATGTATAATTTTATTGTGTCGTAAAGTGTTTGTTTTATAGCATTCACTACATTACGCGACTTTATAGGACCATAAAAAATAAAATAAAAAACACGTAATTTTCACACGTATGCACCCTCTTAAGACTGTGGCAGCTATATACGTTATATTCAGTGACTGGTTTTAACGAAAAGGCCTATAATAACATTACAGACTCGCATATCTTATCTCGCTGGCATTGTAACGCGTCGATATAATTCGTTTTATGACGTAACGTAACCGAGCAGTTGATTCAAAGTATCACAAAACTAACACATGTATAATTATGCTGGCCAGGGGCGTGTACAGGGGGGGTGGGGGTCCAGGGGGTCCGCCCCCCTCCCCTGCTCGCGCAGAAAACGCATCTAAGAGGGTGTAATTTCAGAAATTTTCTGGGGGAGGCCCCCCCCGACCCCCCCTTCGCGTGCTCGCAAGTTTGGGTTACGGTTAGACCTCCCCCCCCCCCCTGGTACAAATCCTGTACACGCCCCTGCTAGCGTAGTATTTTCTTCACTTGGGGTTCAACTTGCGTTGATCACGAGTTTGACAGTCAACAAACAAATATAGATGAGCAAGCAGCATGTTGCTAACATGTTTTGCGAGCAGTGAGTGGGGGTAGGACGCGCGCTTGCCAACACACCCCCGTGAGACGCAACGCCATTGGCTGAAAAGCTGACACACACCCAACGCAGCCGAAAATACTGCGTGAAACAAACATCGATGTGCAATCCATTCGGTTCGGAATACCCGCTTAGAATCGAGATGGTCGGGGTAAAATCACGTTATGATATTCGCTGAACTTCGACAGTTCGTGTGAGATTCACGGTTAATCGATTTCTAAGCCGCAGTGAGACATATGAGCACCGATATCATGCCAACGGTCATGGCCAGTGTTAGCTCTAGTACTATAGCCCGCGTACAGTTGCCGCAGGCCTGCGGAACCTGTACGCGGGCTGCAGTACTGGAGCTAGGCCAGTGTAAGAAGTTCTGTGGAGGTATAGATTCATACGCGATCTTATTGACTGCACTGCGCGCGGCCTTGCAAACACAGGGTCGCGACTATATATAGTGCAGCGGGCCTACACGTAAACATGAACCTAGTTTCGGTGGGAAAAATCCGGCAGCTTGGTATGCGAGCTAGCGGCATCAACAGGTTGGGTTCACAGCGAGTCCAGCATCGCGTGTCGCGGACGGCCAGTGAGCGCGTATATGTTATGTTTGCTAACAGGCCGTCAACATACAGTCGTAAATGCACAGTCTGCCGCTGCCGCCGCGCCAAACATACACAAAATGTTACTTTCCCTTTTATAATTATTTTGTTGACTGGTACGATTCTAGTACCGCCCTGGCACATTTTTGTGACATGAGCTCGCTGTCGTTGTCATGGTAACCAATATCAGCTGCTACACGTTTAAATCCCAGAGACATATTGAGTTTCCTGGTTAGCAGTAACTCGTGTTGCTGGAGCTACTCATCCGCCTATTCATTTATCCGTCATTGCGAACATGAGGCACATATATAATACCATAAGTAAAGCGACGAGTTTGCTATTATTCACTCCTGATATTATGTTTGTATCTGAAAGATTACCATTCTCTGTGATCTCTGTTCATTTCAGTGTTTTCTCTCTTCTTTCGTCTCTCACCTTCCCTTCTTCGTTCACCGGCTCGCAGCACGCATAGTGAATGTGCGGCTCATGCCAACACCGCGACACTTTTCCCTCACAACACTCACCGCGACAGGTAACGTGTTCGTAGCCTCCACACGCCACCTCCCGCCAAACCGCTGCCCACCCACAGCTAACCACCCACCCTTCCCTTATTTTCACTCTCCACTGATTTACCACCGATGCGGGGCACGCACGCACGCACGTACGCACGTACGAACGCCCGCACGCTCGTGCACGCACATGTAACAACATACGCAGAAAAAATTCTTCTCCGTGAGCCTGTCTTGTTTGTCGTTGTTTTTTTCGTATCTGAAAATTTTAAAAGCATGTTTTATATGGATTCTTATTAAGATAAGTGCATGCCCATGTGCTTGGACAAGAAGAATGACGTTTGTGGTTACAAGTGGAGATTAATGCTAACTTATGTATATTTTACTTAGCCCAATCCTGGGACGCAGTGGGCTCCAAAGCGATTAAGGGAGACTGGAGTGATTGGCGGATTACAAAGGCTAGGTAAGCGCTCTCGTTTCTTTTGATATTATCATAAATATATATTACATATATAATGTAATATACAATATACATATATATATATATATATATATATATATATCATATATATATATATATAATATATGTATATATATATATATTATATATATATGTGTGTGTGTGTGTGTGTGTGTGTGTGTGTGTGTGTGTGTGTGTGTGTGTGTGTGTGTGTGTGTGTGTGTATGTGTGTGTGTGTGTGTGTGTTTGTGTGGTGTGTGTGGTGTGTGCGTGCGTTGCGTGCGTGGCGTGCGTGCGTGTGCGTGGCGTGCGTGCGTGCGTGCGTGCGTGAGTGCGTGCGTGCGTGTGATTTTGTTTGTACATTTGTGAATGCAGTTGGCGTGTTGCGTTTGTGTCAGACACGGCACGTGTATAGCTCTAGGAAAAGTGTTTCACAATTTCAACTAAATAGCTAGCGTATCAGATCCGCATTGGTTCTGGCAAAACATCCGCGCGATCGCATTACTCTGAATCAATGGTCCCATCAATATATATATATATATATATATATTATGTATACGTGGCATGTGATGTGTCACTGGAAGGTACGTGAGGGTGTGAGTCACCATGCACACTCTGATAGGTGGAAACGGACCAGTCGCGCCTTTCATCCCCCCGGATAAACACAAGCAAACATGAGCAAACCAGAGTAACGACAGTATTTATAGAAAGTGCTCGCAAACATCCGTACATCGTGGTTTTGTACTTTGAACGAGCATGCATGGCCTTGTATTTTTATCGGGGGTGCGCGTTCTTTTCGTCGCACCCTACAGCTAAAACTGCGTTGTTTGCAATACTGGGCCCAAGTAAGCATATGCATGATAAAGATGTCGCATAAAATATAAAGGCAGTATTGACAAAAGAAATACTCGACGTCGATTGGTTAACGTCGCTCAAAATGTTGCAACATGTTGCGGGACCGGAGCGCGCCTACATTTTCTGCAACATTGCACGTTCAACACGTTGCATCGCCTCTTTCAATATGCAGCATAGCATGGCACATGCTGTTCAACATTTGATGCTAACGGATTTTGAACCGCGTATGATGAGTGCACAGACAATTAGTTAACATATGCTAATTCAAAATTCAAACCATAGTCATATGACACGAAAAATGGCACACACTAATTAAAGAATTTTTACCTTTAAGGTTGGCACGTTAATGACTACGGGGACTTGCAGTTCATAACCTTTCAAGATGATATAGCCTATGAACCCAATGCAATATACAACCCGAGAACAGTAGGCGATGCCACCAGAAAAGTAAGAAACCTTGTATACCCTAACTTTTTTTCTCTTGATAGACAGCATTTTGCGATACGGTTGTTGAACCTGTGGGGCATGCTTTGCGCTTCTACATTTCTACTCCGTGTCGTGATTCGCTACACATGGCAGTAAAGAATCAGAAATTTCCAAGTTAGGATAAGTGATATTGAATCGGATTTGCACTCGTGACCAGTACACGGTATCCTATACAGTGACGTAAGTCATGCCACGATCACGTGCGCTTACGTCATCCGAATCGTTGCAGAGCGGATGTCATCCCTACTCCGATCCCGAGTGATCGAGAAAGTGTAGATGTATTTGCACTCGCGAGCTCGCAAGGATTTCGCTGTAGTGAGGCGCGGATGCGTGGTAGATGCGGTGGAGGGATTGGCGGGGTAGAATTAGCTAGCTAGTAACGCACAGCTGTCTATATCGCAGCCGGCTGAAAGGGGTGATAGGATATGTTTACTAGGCACTTCTAATTTTAACATATATTTTACGATATATTAAAGAATGATGCAAAAACCCTAAAAAGTGCCCTAACCCTAACCCTAACCCTAACCCTGACCCTAATTAAATTTAAAATATATGTTAAAATTAGAAGTGCCTAGTAAACATATCCTACCCCCCGGCTGCGTCTATATCACGCGGTGATTACGTAGACACACGCGTCCACGCACACGAACCCACGCACGCACGCGCGCGCGTACAGACAGGCGCGTGTACATATATATATGCACTAAGTAACGCATCGATATAATACTATATAATACATACTACTAATCCTTGTACATTTAGGAGATTTTATTATCTTGGTAGTAATAATAATAATTAGCATATTTTCTAGCATAGCTTGTAACCAATTTGTTTTTATTCACTCCTGACAGCATATATACTACTATAACTAACACTAGAATACTACTCATATAGTCGTATATAGAGTCGAGTCTAAACATATATTCGCACGATAAACATCCTAATCCATGCATAATCATATGAACATTGATTTCCATCTCTTCGTTTCGGCGTAGATCGCGGCCGCCGTACGACGTTCGTTGCAGGACAACGGCATCTCGCTCAACATCGGCGGCGACCACAGCATGACCATAGGTACATTCCACGCACACGCGCAGGTGTTCGACAAGCCGTGCCTCGTCTGGGTCGACGCGCACGCCGACATCAACACGGCGGCATCGAGCGTCTCGGGACACATCCACGGTATGCCCGTAGCGTTCATGCTACACGAGACGAGCGGTCTCTGTAACGTGCTGCCGGGCTTCGAGTGGTGTCGACCAAGGTAATATTATATCGTATATATCATACCATACGTAACAGCGCTGACTGTTGGTGTGTGTGTGTGTGGGGGGGGGGGAAGGTACATATCAATAACATCAGGCGGTGGTAATAATATTTATTATAACCGATATATTATTATTATTATTATTATTGTTTTTCGCTGATAACGGAATGCAAACAAAAACTAGAAAAATGTCAGCAGTCATAGTAGGCCTATACGTACGGTCTCTCTCCTCTTGTACATAGTAATATATATGCATATAAATTTAAAGTTGGCATTTTGCCCTGGCCTCATGCTGAACTGACATTTCACACTTTCATTTGGCACGATGCCCGTTTTCACATCCTTGTCTATATATATATCACCATGTGGGTGTATGCAGGGGGGGGGGTCGTGAGGGTCGTACGACCCCCCCAAAATTTTAAAAGGTCCACATTTTTTCCAAAGACATTTTTTTTCGAGGGCCTTTTTACAATTACATAAATGAAAAAGATCAGGTACCAGCAATGAGTCCAAAGACATTGCCAATTGCGTGACGTAAATCTATCCCAATTCCAGCAATTCTGAAACTGAGCCTTTTTTTAAACAAAATTTTGTTTCATAAAAGAGAGACAAAGACTGACAAAGACAAAGACAAGACAAGATCAAGACAAGACAAGATAAAGACAAAAAGTTCAAAAAACTCTGTTTTCAACTGAGTCAGAAAACTTTTTTTTTTAAACTGATAAATTTTTTTTTGAAACAAAATTTTTGTTTTAATTAAATTGTCAGGGGCGTGTACAGGGGGGGTCCAGGGGGTCCGGACCCCCCCCCCTGCTCGCGCAGAAAACGCATCTAAGGAGGTCTAATTTCAAAATTTTCCTGGGGGAGGACCCCCAGACCCCCCTTCGCGTGCTCCCAAGTTTGGGTTAGACCCCCCCTGGTACAAATCCTGTACACGCCCTTGATTGTATTGACATTGTAATCACATCTTGCTGCTATTTCATTGTGAAAAGGTCCAAAAAATTATGATCACGACCCACCCAGAAAAAATCCTGGATACACCCCTGATCACGGATTAATAATGACAAATTTGTCATTATTAACCCCTGATATATATATTATATACATATATACATGGTGCGCAATCACACAAACTAGTCACGCTGTCTACACATGTACACGAGCCTATTTACTTAAATCATTCTCACTTTATGATTGCACTGAAATTATGTAACCATAAACCTTGATTGGACTGTACGAAAGCGACACGTCAACAAGACCTCTTACGCAACCGCTCCCTTTCTGACTGCTGCCATATGCGCAGTGTGGAGAGAGTTGTATTCATAACAGTGCACGAGCCTTTCTTAATTTGCGAATTATTCGAAATCGCTCGATACTGACCGCATACTGGCTTCTATTGAACTATATTGACTACTGCACTCTCTACGCGTGTTTGTTCACTGCACAGCCTCACTGCCAAGGACGTGGTTTACATTGGTCTAAGAGACATTGATCCGCCAGAGTGGGACATAATAGATCGATTAGGCATCACCTACTTTGACATGAAGAGCATTGATCAGCTTGGCATCGCTGCCGTGATTAAGAAAGCCTTGGATGCTGTAAATCCAAAGTAAGTTTTAAAACATTTAATTTAAAATTTTCGCTTTTTTTCTAAAGTTGCCGATTAAATAATGGCTTCCCAATAGTAGAGCAATCTTATTTAATAAATTCAATTAATTTACGCTCCCGCTACGCCCCGTCAATGCCCTCACATTGTAAAAGATAAAACCATCCCATTATTGCTTGTAATATTTATGTAAGCGTTTATTGATATATAGTTATATATATTAATTAATTGTAATTTTTATTCATTCATTTATGTAATGTTTTGTAATATTTTACCATTTAATATTCACTCAAAAGTAAGTAGCCGTTCATATTGTTGTTGTTTTTTTGTTCTAGCCGAGATCGTCCTATTCACCTCAGCTTTGATGTTGACGGTCTAGACACACTAGAAGCACCAAGCACTGGCACCCCAGTCCCAGGTGGCATGAAACTCAGCGAGGCTGTCTACATAGGAGAGCAGCTGCACAAGACTGGTGAGTCATACAAGAACATCTGACACCACGCGGTGAGATAGTTAGATGATAACATATATATAAGAGAGAGAGAGAGAGAGAGAGAGAGAGAGAGAGAGACAGAGAGACAGACAGACAGACAGACAGATAGACAGATAGATAGATAGATAGATAGATAGATAGATAGATAGATAGATAGATAGATAGATAGGCTGCAAAATGGGTAAAATGGAGAAAAAAAATCCTGCATTATGTCTACAGGTATGCTGACGTGTCTTGACCTAGCAGAGATCAACCCGGACATCGGTTCAGCTAGTGATCAGAAACGCACTCTCTATGCGGCAAGGACGATAATCG